ATTTGTAAATTTCTCACATTTTTTCTGTTATCAAGGCCTAATTTCATTCTGTTGTAGAAAGATGACATATTTTGTATGATTTCCATCTTTCTATTTAGGTTTGTTTTATGTATTTAGGTTTGTTTTATGCCTTGGTAAACGATCTATACTGGAAAATGTTCCAAATGCCCTTGGGAAGAATGCGTATTCTGCTGTTGTTGGAAGTAGTGACATATAGATGCCTGTTAGGTCTAGTTGGTCTATAGTGTTGTTCAAGTCTCTTATTTCTTTGTTGATCTTTTCTCTAGTTCTGTCTGTTATTGAAAGTGAGATATTGAAGTCACCACTTGTTGAATTGTCTGTTATTCCCTTCAATTCTGTTGGTTTTTGTTTTATGTCTTTGGAGGCTCTGTTGTTAGGTTTACATATGTTTTATNTAAATGCCCGTCCTGTTCAGATTCTACATGTCATGTGTTACAGCTGGATGGCTCTTCCTCAGTTATCTTTCATTTTGAGGCTGCTGGCCAGCTTAGGAAAGAGAGGAGGGACTGGGGAGTTGGGAGCACCAGGCTTCAGCTAAGCTGGAAAGGTCTGGAAAGGCCCCAACTCAAACACATGAGGAACTCTGGTGGGGTCTGAGCCAGGCAAGAGCAGACAGGTGCACCTCAGCCCTATGCCCAGACATTCGGTGATTCCCCTGTTCCTCAGCTAGCCCACTGCACCCAGGCACGTGGTCAACTCAGAGGCTGTGCCTGAGACAGATGAGAACATAGTTGGGTGGGGGCTGGACAATAACCAAGTAAGCAAAAGCATGAACAGACGTTTTGGCACAGTGAGCCTACCACGAGGCAGTAGGAGAGACAGTGAGGAGACGGAGCTACTTCGCGGCAGGCAGTCAGGAAGACGCCACAAGGGGAGGAATCTGAGCTGCCATGCAGAGACCTGGGGAGAGGGCTTCCCACAGAGGAACAGCTGCTGCACAGGCCCTGAGGCTGGAGGGAGCTGAGGGGAGGGGGTGTTGAGAAACAGAAAATGGCGTAGTGAGCAAGAGGGAAAGGAAAGATCTGAGTACCAGCTGCAGCAGGTGTCAGGCGAGCAGGACCATGCAGGCTGTGGAAGGAGCTGAGATCATATCCAAGAGTAATTGGGAGCCATTGAGGGTCCAAAGCAGGGAATGACAGCATCCAGGTTGGGTTTTGTAAAGACCTCTCTGGCTGCACTTGGAGGAGTGGATATGGGGGACCCGGTGGGGACAGACAGCCCAGCCTGGGGGACTGAGTAGTCAAGTCTGAGCTGGCGCTGGGCCCCAGGCTTCACACCCACCTCTCTGTCCTCAGCTCCGTCAGCACCATCAGGAACCAGCGCTACCACATCCACGCCAACCTGTCCTTCACTGTCCTGGTAGCCCAGATTCTGCTGCTCATCAGCTTCCACTTTGAGCCGGGCACAGTGAGTATGCACAGCCCCCTCCAACCTGCTGCTGCGCTTCCATGTCAAAGTGGGCCTCCCTCCCCCTGCTGCCCTCAGGTGAGGAAGTGGGGCACAGGGGTTACAGCAACTTGGCCAAGGTGATGACCCTAATAAGGGCAGACCAGGGTCTGGGCACTGGGCTGCCCTTGTGCAGTCTGCTGCAGACTCTGCAAACAAGACAGCAAACAGCTGCACCACCCTCTGCACCACCTGCTAAGGGCAGGTGCTTCTCAGCCAAGGGAACGTGCAGACCTCTTAGACTCTGCCTTTCCCTGCCCTTTGCATTGGGGTGGGGGTCTCTGAGGGCCCTGTGAAGTCTTAGACCTCACAGAAAGTAAAGAGCTGAGACTCTCTGAAGTGACTCAGCTGGGGATGATGTGGGTTTATAAACCCAGTTGATGGGAAGGAGAAGCAGAGACCTGCCTGCTCCACACCCAGGACGGAAGGAGGGGCTGGTTGGGCAAAGGGGTTTAGGATGTGATCAGGATTGACCAATGCAAGATGAACATCTTACTCCTTGCCTAGTAATGGTCAGCAGAGCCTCTCCTTACTGCCCAGCAGGGTCCCCAGCCCTGTGCCTGTCCTGGGGCTACTGCCTATGGCAGATCTGCCTTCACCTGGCTGCAGGTGCTTCTGTCACTGGAGTACTCTGAGGGTCTCGGGAAGCATCCTGGATGTGCTATGGAATGGTCAGAGCATGCGCCAGCCTCATGCTCTCCTACTGGATGCTTTTCAGGCTCCAGTATGAACCATCCCATGGGGATTCTGTCACTGGAGTACTCTGAGGGTCTCGGGAAGCATCCTGGATGTGCTATGGAATGGTCAGAGCATGCGCTAGCCTCATGCTCTCCTACTGGATGCTTTTCAGGCTCCAGTATGAACCATCCCATGGGGATTCCTTAAAATGCAGATTTTCAGATTTTGGTTCAGGAGTCCCAAGTGGGACCTGGAATTCTGTATTCCTGTCAACCATTCAGGTGATGCTGACTCCGCCTGTGCAATCCCACGCTGAGGAGTGAGGTCCTACTGCGTGTTAGCAGCAGGAGGGAGGCAGGTCTGCAGCAGCTCCAGGCATCCATCATCCCAGATGGTGGCCCCAGGGAACCCGGAAAGTGTCTCCCTCCCAGAGCCTTATGTCTAAATCCCAGGGAAGGGCTCTGATTGGTCTTGTTTGAGTGACATGCCCTTTGAATAAACCTCTGTGGCAGATGGGAAAGGATGCTCATGATGGTTGGTCTCACCAGAGCCTCTGGGGTAGGGAGGGGCTGCTCCCCAAAAGAGAGTGGAAGCTGGTCCTGGAAAACACAGGGCCACAGGGTGCTGGGCCAGCAAAAATAATAGATGTGTCCCATGTTTGTATCTATGTATAACAGACATGATGACAAGAAACATAACATTTGGTCACTTGTACGTTTTTTTCTCTGGGAATTAACTGACTTGGGCAAATTTGGAGTACAGAACTTGGAACAGCCAGCAGAGATGGATGTCTCTGGGCTTTTTTGTTTTCCTTCCTGGGTTCCTGTTCCCTAGACCTTTTATTTGGAGCTTAGGGATGGGCCCTGGGTGTTTCTAATACCTGTGGACTCATGGAGGGTGCAGGGGTGACTGACACTCCTATGTGGGTCTGAGGCCACATGGCTGAGCTTTGTCACAACCCAGAGGTTAAAGAATGTGCAGTGTCTCCATTCTTTCCCCAGGGAGGGCCACACCAGGCTGTACCAAGCAGGCCCCTGCCCTCTCCCTGCTCATCAGAGAGAAGGCTCATTGCCTTCTGGATAGCAGTGCCTGCAGAACTAGAAGTAACTCACTTTACAGACAGTCTGTGCACTTCTGCCCATTGTCCCTGTTGAGAGTAAACTCCAGGAAAGTCACTAACAAATTAAAACCTTAAAGTGAAGTAACTACAGATTCCAGAATTCAGGGGCTTCAGCCACATCACAGTGCCTGCTTTCTCTGTCTCTCAGCTCCCTCCCTCCTAAGCAGGCCTCCCTTCTGGGAGCCAGGGCGGCCTCTAGAGCTCCAGGCTCCTGTCCTCACCTGGAGGGAGAGAAACTCTCCCCCTGATGTCTCCACCCTGATTGGACAAGTGGGGTCATGTAACCATCCCTGAACCAATCTTGTTGCAGGAATGGAGACAGTTATGCTGATTGTCCAGGTCTGATTCCCATACCCTATCCTGAACCAATCACTGTAACTGGGGCAGGACATGGTACAGTGATTGCCTAGCCCTGGGTCACATGCTGCACTCAAATCACTTGGACTGAGAACTGGGAGCCATGACTCCCCAGAGAGAAAATGAGACCACGTGACCTCAGGGGATGGATGCTGGGAGGCTAAAACAACATCAGGGCCCAGTACACACACCCAGAGATGTTTCACCTCTTGTGTCTGTGTTCTGATCCTAGATCCCATGCCAGGTGCTGGCCATGCTCCTGCACTACTTCTTCCTGAGCGCCTTTGCCTGGATGCTGGTGGAAGGGCTGCATCTCTACAGCATGGTGATCAAGGTCTTTGGGTCAGAGGACAGCAAGCACCTCTACTACTATGGGATAGGATGGGGTAGGTGGGATGGGGTGGGGCAGGTGGGATGGGATGGGAAAGGTTTCATTTTTCTATTATCCTTCTTGGTGCTTCCTAGAGGCCAAGATGGGAAGAAAAAACCCACTGACCAATCAAAGGCAAACATTTCACGTCATCTGGAAACACTTCCAACCTTCCTGACTTGGTTTGTCAATTTTGGTTGAGGTCATTCTTTTTTAACATAGTCATGTACAGGCATATATTTCCCTGTACACACTGTGTTTAGCTGCATCCCGTAAATTTTGTTTGTGTCTTCACTTTCATTCACCTCAAAGTATTTTTTATTTTCTTTTT